TATATATATATATATATATATATATATATATATATATATATATATATATATAAAAGTGTATTACAAATGTCCTTTTTTAAATTTGTCCCGTTTAAATTCTTTAAATTTTTTAATTAATCAGTACTATTCCTGTGATCATAAATCAGTACGTTTATGGCTCTTAGATCACACGAATTAACAGCAGGCCATATTTCTAACATATTTTTTAGACAAATATTGAGATATTGAGACAAAGGAGTTAGTTGTGACTCATAAGAAAAATGAACGTCTTATAAGTATAGCATAAACCCCAAAAATCAGATGCCAAAGAAACTCCATTGTCTGATTATGGCATCTTTCTGATTCCTCTATGATGAATTAAAACTGACTGTACTCTTCTACATTCAAAATGTGTTGTTTTCTAAACTCAAAAATGCATAACAGAGAAATGTGAGGCTTAAAACCACAAAACAGCACCAGGCAAACCAGCTTTACTGTAGTACTTTTAACAACCGAGGGTTCACTTTAAGGGTGGGTAAGTATCAAATGACATGAGTAATGGCATTGCTAGTCCCAAAGAGAACAGCAGAAAGATGAAATGGAACTTACCTCTGATTTTTGTGACTGATGGGCATGTGGCATGGATGTATAAAAGACCATTTCACTGAAAGAAGTCTGTTAACCCCTGTTCCCTAGCTGTCTCTACTAGACAACTGTGTCCAGCTTTGCTTGACAAAGGGAGATAGCGGTGAATTAAAGCACATGACAACAGCTGTCTTTTTAAAGAATCGGCACTTTGATTAGGGTCGGCTTGTAGTTAAGCAATGTTCACTAATTCCTACATATCAGAGAAGGGCGGATAGGAAAAAAAAAAAGGAAAAATCCCGAACACACTAGCATGCACACACACATACACAATTATACACATTCAAGGGATTTGACAGCATATGTCGTCTTTGGCCAGCGTCCCATATTCTACAATGGTCATCCACACAGCGCGGTCTGTAATAAGACCATAGTTTTACAGCAAATATATAGCAGCTCCAAAAACTATATGGACACTGAAGTCCCACCTAAAAAAAAATATAATTAAAAA